ATGAAGGCTTAAATACAGAAAAATCTGACTAGGTGGTAGGCTGTTCAGCCTGTACCCCTGAACAGTCCCTTATGTGTATTTTCTAGTTGTCTCTTATTTGGAATAAAAATGTTACCAGTATTTCAAAATGCTGAGTACTGTTGCGGGGGGGCTACAGAGACGTGATGTAATAACTTGGACTCATGGTGAGAATTACATGTGCAGAAAAATTGGATAGATGGGAATGTCTGAAGAGGACACAAATAAGAAGGGACATGGCACTCACCTATAATACCAGAGAGAGCGGTGAGTTTATGCCAGAGAAAGAAATTGCTTTAGAATTGGATCACTGGGATGTTTTCTGTCCTGGTAGTAGATGGTGTTACCTCATCGTTAGTTAATGACATGGTTGCCAAGAGCCTGCTAAACTGATGAATAAATGAAGCTTAAATAATACACAAATGAAAGGAACTGCAAGTGTGCAGGGAGTACATAGGGCATCTGCAATTGCAGTAAATAAAGTTCCTTGCCTAGGGAACGTAAGCCCGGCTCTGCTTCCTGGAGCTCCAGAGCAGTTTCCCCGCTGGCAGAATAACCCATGACTATTCACATGGCGTTTTTGTGGTGCCTGTCTTCGAAGCATCTGGCATCAAATACCGTGATACCAGCTAGTTGGTGGGCAGGGGATAACTGCTGAGGAACGTACCGCATGGGAAATTCTGCCCAGGGTAGAACAAACCCTGGTCCCTTCATCTGTTACATGGCATGGTCTCCTGCTGGTACCCACATAGGGGTTTTTTTTAAGGAATATGTGAATGTCATCGGGTTGTAAAGTAAAAGTTTGAGAGAGATTTATTTCTGTGGGTGAATGATCTTCTGGATGTTAGAGTACCTGAATAAGGATATGGGAAGGCAGATGTTGAGCTGTGGGGGGGGTGGAAAATTTTGGAAGGATTGGCTGAACACAGTGGTCATTATTCAGTATTATTAATTCATTATTTGCTTGAGTTTAGGGAGATTTAATGAGTAACCGTTGTAACGTTCTTAAGTGCTTAAGTGAGAGGAGTCATGGTAGGGTAGGAAAAATAATATGGTAAAAGTAATTAAACTAATTTGGATTGTGGCCTCTGGACTACAAAAGGCAAGGTTTTGGAGGGCTCTTAGAAATAGATGTTTTGTTAATAGAAGATTAAAAAAATGACTAGTTCCATTTGGGGCATTGAGTCATACCTTTAAAATTTCATAATTAACTTCCCCAAACAATAGAAAATACTCATTTTCCACAGGGAGCTGTCTAGAAGAACTTTTTCATGCTCCAGGGTCCCTCTTGATCTGTGTAAATGCCTGTCATGGCATACTGTTCACTGTCCATGTATTGCAGGACAGAGCTGCGGAATAGCATCAGAATACAATTTCTCTGTGTTTTGGGATCTTTTTGTCAGGTTTCGGGGCAAACAGGTGCAAAAGTAGAAGGTCAGCTCCCATGAAAATGTTCACAGCTTCAGGCATTTATTTTTAAATGGGTAGCTTCTGTAAGTCTAAAACCTTACAGATTCAGAAAATTGAACTAACTAACAGGGTTTTATCTTTTTCCGGTTTTCTTTTTCTCCTCGTGTTAATTGCCACGGGTTCTTAGTCTCTTTCTGCAGCTCTCTTTACTACCATTTTCCAAAAACTGTCCAGTTTTGTCTTCTCCTTCATTCCCATGTTTCCACTTGACTCACACCACCTGCTTTTGCTCCTTAGAGCTGAATGAGAATTTGAGTGTCTGGGTGCATGACAGTAACTCTGTGGTTCATGCTCTGGCAGCTGCCGAGCCATTGAAGGAGCCGAAACGTGCCCACACTTTGAACCTGAGAGTTTCTTAGGCACTTAAGCTCAAGTGCTTGCAGAGAGGCAGAAGTGTCTGAGTCAAAATGGTTGAGTATTTGACTTCAACTCCACTGCAATCCAGTCTTGAAATGGCAATATATATATATAAAAGTACTGGGGCTAGTTTCTTCCAATTAACGAAATAGTTTTGTCCACCTCCTCATTTACCGCTTTCTGGGTTGCCCTGCTGAGGTCCTGCTTCTCTCTGTTGATTCTACCGATAATTTCAGCTGTGAGTGCCCAAGCTCATCAGTCGAAGCTGGTGTGTGATACCTGACACCAGCTTCCCATCCTCTAGCAATTCTGCTCCTGCTGGTCCTTTCTCCGTCCTTTGAACTCCTGGATCTTCCGTTTTTTACTGTCATTCTTACGGACTCAGTGATCACTCTTCACGTCTCAGATATTACCAAACAAAAGGCTAACAGGTAGTGTAGTGTTGCCTAGGAAGAAGAACATTTTTTTTTTCTAGCACCTGTCCATCCACAGATAATGTGGGTGTTTAACAGAAAAGTAATACCATTATTCTTCCCTTAAAAATTAGGTTTGCATAAAATGTCGTTGATTAATCTTAATGAAAAATCATATCTTTCACAGTTTTCTTTACAGTGGCTTTTTTAAGGTGCATGTGAGTGAATGTCTTCAGAGTAATGCTACTTTGCCTGGTTTTTTCCTTCTTATGCCATACACATATATTTAATTGAAAATAATGAAAGGTCTTCTTAGGTTGAGCTTGTAAGAGCGATTTTCCTTCAGTGGTGTAAATAGCTTGAGAGGAATGTGGTTAGTCCTGTCTCTTTCACATAGCTCTATAGGGGCTGGGTAAGCAGGACTCATTGAGGAGGGAGGCTGGAAGCAACACCTGGAAACTCCAGGCGAGTGACCCACGCTCACGTCCTTCCATCAGCTGACTTTCGTTTCTTAGCTGAAGTGATACTGTTTTGATGGACGAACAAACTGTTTCTGGTATTTGTCTTTCACCGACCTTCCCCCCCTGCATCGGGTTCTCCATTTGTCTTCTGCCAAGGGAAAGAAGAGCTGGGATTTGTGTGCCGAAGAGGCCGTCGCAGGGGAAGGATCTCAGGGCGGGGAGAGACTTAGCGTTTCAGATGCTTTTAAATGGGGATCCAGAGCTTAGGAAATACCTCCTTGTTTTGCTCCGGAAGTCTCTCTGGTCAAAGAAACCAAGAGGCGCAGTATTCAGAGTCTGAACAACAACAGAGTTTTAAAGTACTTTGAGGATGGACAGGGCAAGCGCTCCACTTGGAAACTGTTGATGTGGTGTGACGAGACCATTAGGATAGACCTGCCTAGTCAAATGGGGAGACTGCTATATTTGTCCGGTGCTCCACACCAACTGTTTGTGGCAAGCGTATGTATGTAAGACAGTTCGGTGGTGAATCTGAACACGTTTTGTAGCGCTTTGTCATTGGCAAGAGTGGGCAACCCACCATCTGCCGCGTAGCTTGTGCCCATCCAGCTCGCGGCAGCTGCTGGATTCCAGGCGCCCAACGCTGCGGCTGCCGAGGGGCAATGAACACTATTTGGTGCTTTGTGCTTGGCTGAGACTGTAAAAATACCTAGGCTAAGTTGCTGCTGGTACAGCTATGGGCTGTGGTCACCTCAGAGCCTGGATTGCTGGGTTCTCCTCACAGCAACTGTTTCCCACCCCCGTCTGACATCAAAACTGCAGCACAGCCCAGATGGTGCACAGAAGGTACCAACCCAAGGAGCTCAAATGTTGCTGACAACCCTGCTGACATGCCTATACAGCATCCAATTTCCTTACAGAGGCACCCATGGCCATTTCAGCTGGACTTTTCAGGGCCGTTTGAACTTTGTGGTGATATTCTTACTCGGGAATTTTCTTTTGAAACCGAGGGCTCTCAGCAAAGCATTTATTGACTTTTGAAGAGACGCATGGAGGGAGGTGCTGCCTACGACAAAGCAAGTGTTGCATCACTGGTTCATGTAATTGAAATAGTTTCTTGCAAGCTGCTTGTGATTCATAAGAGATAATAAATAGCTGAGGAATGATTGTGCCTGACGAAGGAAACAGTTGTTGCAGAGATGTCCTGGTTATGATTAGCTGGTTTCAGAAGGGGAGGTAAAAAATCATTTTTGACACACCAAAGGAAGATGCATATGGACCTCACACAGTTTCCCTTCCTCAGTTTTGGTGCATGCTTGACTCTGGGATCAAGGTAACTGCCAAGAGCATTTAACATGTAGACATTGAGGGCTGGTGATAGAAATCACAAATAAGTATAGCCTACAAACATGGCAAAATGGGGTTTTATAAGAGTTTACTTTAGGAAAGCACAAAATCCAGTTTTGCTGTATTAATCTTCTCCTCTGACATGATACAACACAGAACATGGGGCATGCGTCATGCTTACCTTTAAATAAAAAGCAGAGGGTCAGATTTTCCAAAAATGTACACTTAGCCCAAGTCTGATCTCATTGAAGTAAATGGGTATTTATCAACAGCATTGTGCAAGTCCCATGGCTGAGTACATTTAAAAATTGTACACTGTTCCTGGTAACATCTTACATGCAAAATTAATTTTACTGAAAGTAAGCGCGATAAATAAAGACGACTTTTTGCAGATTGAATTTTTATGTTTAATTGGGAAATCGTAGTTCATTTTTACCAGCTTGCTGAGAAATGTCCTGCAGTGTTCTTTACACAAATAATTAGAAATCTTCATAAACTTCATAAAAATAATTGGAAGTCTGTGGCAGCCTGTGATAAATTGCTGAAATATCGGGTAATCTGGCCATTTTGGGAGAAAGTGTAGCCTGATGAGATGAGGGTAGCAAACTCGTATGGTAATCACGAGAATAATTACACGGCCCTTTGTGCTGACGTTAATCCCCGCATCACCCCTGCAAGGTAGGATCTATATTGTTGCCTTAATCCTGTTGATTTTCTTAGTCATGTGAACGCCACAGGAATGATAAATCTCAAGGCCCTTTCCTTATATTCAGCAGATTTGGTACCTCGTAATTGTGTAATTTGGCCTAAAGCAACCCCTAGGCAGTGGGTGTTCATGGGATGTGTGCAGAGGGGGTTGTAGGGATTAAGAGCAACAAGGGGAAAGTCACCACCTGTTTTTTCCCCCCTCCCCTCTTTCTTTTTTGTCTCCCAGGAGAAAAACCCTACAAATGTACCTGGGAAGGCTGCACCTGGAAGTTTGCTCGCTCCGACGAACTGACGAGGCATTACCGCAAGCACACGGGAGTGAAGCCATTCAAGTGTGCAGACTGTGACCGCAGCTTTTCCCGCTCAGATCACTTGGCGCTCCACCGCCGCAGGCACATGCTGGTTTGAGAAACGCTACCTGTTCCAGCCGAGTTTAAGAGCTGGGTCTCTTAACTACCCGGAGTGAATTCAGCAGGGCTGAATCCCCCTCTACAGTGTTAACAGGCAGGGCTTTCCCTGATGTCCGTAACAAAAAATAATAACAGAAATTAAAAAAAAAAAAAAGCAGGAAAAGAAGTGCCACTCTTCTCCTTGCCATCTGAAGTTAACCCCATCTGCCCCTCAGCATGGCTACCCCCTGAAAGTGTCATCACAATCACCAGGGAAATAGCAGCCAAAATGCTACAGGAATGGGCATTATTTTACATGCTGCGTCCTTTGACAAAAAGATGTTTATAGCTTGTATGTTTTCTCAGCTGTCGGACATTTTGTTCCTGAAAAATCACTGCTGATTGGAGGATTAGATATGACAAACCAATGATGATGATGATGAGAGCAAGACCGCTAGACCTTTGTTATTCCATCTTTTCCCCTTGTTTTGAATACCATCTGGCCGGTGTCAGCATTATGCCCGAGCTGTGCTACAGACAAGCTGCGTGTGAGTAGGCAAGAAGATTCTGCTGGAGAGGTCCCGCTGTTGGAGCTGAAGGGTCGCTTGAGCAGACTTTTGCAATAACGATGGTGGCATTTTAATATTGTACCACAATTTGTCATTATGCCCTAGAGGACACCAGCCATTTAACCTTTTTCTTTTTTTTTCCTTTCTTTTCTTTTGTTGTTGTTGTTGTTGAAGTCTGTAAAATAAACAAGGGGCAGCAACATCTCTACTGAAAGTACAATATTAAGTATCTGTATTTTACCATGGACTTATTTAGAACCATTTTCTGGTTTGTATAGAAAGAGCCCATCTAAAAACTACTACCCCATTCTCAAAGTGCAGTTTTCTTTCATGCAGGCATCCTCTTCCCCACGAGCAGTGTTTGAACAGAAGGAAATAGTCAGATCTTATACTCGCTGGTACCAAGGTTAGTGGTGTAGCCATTCATGAAATGGAATTGAATGTACCAACAAACAAAACAGAGAAGAAACAGGTGCATCTCTCGCAGAGAAAAAGCAATAATGAGTAAAATGGCTCTCGAGACAATAATTTACTCCACACCAACAGAAGGGAGGGTATGCAGAAATAGCACGTAAGATCATTTAAGTTAATCTTTCTGATGGTTTCACTGACCTGCTAGGTACCACAATTAAGTACTTCCATTTCCTTCAACATAATACTTGTGTCTGGAAAGCAAGATAGATAAAGGAAAGAGCTGATTGTTGAGGAGTCAGTGGATGAACTGTAAGTAGGAAGACGAAATGGTTCTGCAGTGGTGCTCTGCAAGACATTAGGTTTCTCCCTGGGCGTTAGGGAATAACAAGATTTTGCCAGCTGTCTAGTATGATATAAATGGCCCTTTATATGGGTACCAGTGGCTGCCCCTGCTGGGATTTTCAATCCAAGCCTTTTCAGATTAAATCAAAGGAAATTCTTGATCATTCCCATACAGCCCTGTAATTGTGAACCAATTTGTATTAATTGAATTATGTAGGAAAGAGAGAAACTCTTAGTCATCAGTTGTTCATGCAAACAGAATCGTGTTTTTCTGTTTTCTTTCCTCACAAGGATCTGCCTATTCATCTAAATTTGACAAAGAGGAGGCTTGGCAAGATGTTTTAAGTGTTGAGATTTTTATAGCTTAGAGATAAAAGATGTATACATAAAAGTCTTTTGCAATGCATTTAATTATGAATATTTGGTTCCAGGAATTGCACAGATTAAACTTGTGATGCCACTTGTTCATTTTTAAATGTTTGACCAGTCTGAATTAATTTCTGATTCCTGAAGTAACCGTAGTAATGTTGGGGGGATTCTGAAATCGAGGTAATCTTAAAGAAAAAACAGCACAGAGTACCCATACAAATACTGAAAGCAATTACAGTTAATTGAGGATTAATATGACTGGGATAATACTTCATAACAGCATTCACAGGCCCCAGAGTTTGATTATCTTTAAATACATTCTTAATATTCCCCAGTCCAGATAGTTTATCAGCTCTCCGAAAGAAGAAATTCAATACTGTTAAAGCTCAGGCTCTCCTCTGCCGACTGGTCAGCAGAGAAACCCAAGACAAATTATTCGCAGCCATTGTGGGAAAAATGCCTCTATCAATTCCCATTGACTGTGTTGGTAATCAACTTCCACAAAATTCAGCAACGTTTTAGTATCCGGCTCCAAATCGGGAACGAAGCAGGGGCACTAAGTGTCAGCGCAAAGCACGAAAAGGCTGCGATGGATCAGGGCTTCTGGATAGGCCATGAGGCATTGCGGGGCAGCAGAACTGGGTCTTTACCAGCAGCTTTACTGCTGTTGGTTTAAAAAACTGGTTGTCAGTGTTGTGTGTGAGATGGTTCATGGATTACGTCTGAGGTCTGTCTTTTATGTACTTCAATATTGTCCCCTTAAATGGATCTGTCATTCTCAGCGTTTAGGGAGAGAAGTCAGGTCAGGTGGAAGTCAATTGATAAAGTTATTTTCCTGCCCAAGAACATTTTACTGACTAATTACTTGAATAGCAGTAATTCAGTTGAAGAACCAATGGCATACAGAATTCCTTTCAGAATCTGTGATCTTTTTTCTCCCATAGAAAATGAAGTTTGTTTGACCAGAAGCTCTTAAGGCCATTCTGTTAGCGTACAAGAAGAGCAGTGAGAGAGAACATCTCTGATGTTATTCACAAAGCCAGAGTATGGCTGGGAGAGACCAGTGTCCTCTTTGGGCTTCCTCCGTAGTCAATGAAGAGAGAACTTGAGAGGCCTTAAATTTCAGCATTCAGCTCTGAACTGCCCCGAGGAGGAGCATATGTATCACAGACCCTGGGGAGGCTCCTCTCCCAAGGCCGAGGTTGGTCTGTGTGAATCCCTTGTCTTTCAGCTGGTTGCCCATTACTTTATGCATAGGAAACACTGCAGCAGAAAGAGGGTCTGATTTTATTCGAGGAACCCCAAAGCGATACAGGGATAAAGCAGCACTCATGCCAAGGGACACAGGCACAGAGCGTGTCAATGGTAACAGAATGAAGCCAAAAGTTAAAGGAACGTACGCTACATTTTCTTATTTCACAGGCAGGAAGTATATCCTCAACCTTTCCAGCACACGTGTAAGGGCTTTTCATGCTGCTGTTGCCTCTAGACAAATTACACAACCAGCAGTAGTCCACCACTGGGTTTCAAGTACTCAGTATGGTTCTTGGCAAGTTTCTCATTGGTACCAGCGCCCACAGGCTTTGGCCCCAAATACTCCGTGAGGTTGTTTTCTGGTTTGTTTTCCGCTTCAGAAGTATTTTAAGAGAAGTTACTCTGTGGGAGGAGGGTGTTTGGATGTGGAGCTGATGTCCCCCAGATTCTCAGGGTGTCCTTCCATCAGTGGCTGTGGTTCAGACCCGCCAAACTTCTGTGCTTGTGCAAGGACTGAGGGCAATTGCTCCAGGGTAGTTTCCTCAGAAATCCTGGTATCCCACCACAGGTCTGTGACATTTCGTAACCATGGCGAAGACTTACATCATATGTAGCATGCAGAAGTACCAGATCTCATCTTGACACAACACAATTGTGTTGTGTCAATTATCTTAATTGAGCGGTTGGGAGAGACTAATATAGAGTATCCTGTTCTTTTGGAAAGACAGAAATTTATGCTTTTAAGTGTGAGTAAAGGATGGGTAATATCTACCATGCACATTACAGCTTACAAGGGAAACTGTGCCACAAAGTGTCATATTTCAAACGTTTCCAAAAGGATCCAATGGATTTGTCAGGAAATCTCAGCAGCCAGCATTATAGGAAAACATAACGAGCAAGCAGCTTTGATACAGAACTTTTTAAATTTTAAATTGTCATTATTTTTTGAGCTCCTGTTTTATTCAGCACTGTAAAATTGGCTCATTGCAACAGCAGTTTGTACTTGGGGATGAAGATGCAGTATTCCTTATTCTCTATCATGCTTACACAATTAATTAAATAGATTTAGACTGACTTGTATATATGATTATTTGCTGGAGTAATGTATAACAAAATTAACAGTGTTAAAAATGACATCAGTGATGTTGATGTTTGGGGTAAACTCACAGTGCAGAGCATGGACAAATAGCTGGACAACCTTTCTCCCCTTTAATAATGGGAATAACAGTGATCATAAGTCTCGTTTTCCATTAACCACATTGAAAATGTATTCTAGTTGCCATTTATAAATTTATCTTCTGATAATAAATGCTGTTTAATGGAAAAGATCTCTTTCTTCTTTATTGAAGGTGGTTACCTCAAAATCGAACTAAGTTTCACCATTAATATCCCGCTTATTTTTAAGTTTGAACTTTGGTTTGGGAACGTCAGTGTGTGAAACTGCATCTTCCACAGCAGGCAAGTCTAAAGATCGTTCAGTAAATCCACCCTACTCCCGCATGCTTATCCATACATCCATGCATATAAACCCCAGCACTTCCACATGCCTCCACCCATGTGCAGGTAATAAACAAGTTTATTAAAAAAAAAAAAAAAAAACAGAAAAGGAAGAATGGGAAGTAAACACTGTAAAAGAAAATACTACCTTCTTAAGAAACCAGCTCATGTTATTGTATTATGCCTTTTTCTGTGATTTATAACTGGAGAAGTGCACAAAGAAATTTCAAGATTGTTATATTTTCACAGTTCTGCTATAGCGTAACAGTTGCTGTAATGTATGCTTATGAATTCAAGCCCATTGGTACCTTAAAAATGCTTAAATTCTGATTGATTTCCGCAGTAAATCAGGTTTTAGTACAAAAATGTAACTATAAGGATACTGCATCTTTAGAAATCAAAATACATTGAAAGTATTTTACTATACTTGTAACAGTTTAAATATTCTGTAATATATGTGATAGTGGAAAAGTATTTTCAAACTCACAATTTTACATGGGGTGTAAATAGGATAAATGAAGTACATTTTTAAAATCCTTTAGTTTTCATCAGGAAAAACGGTAAGATAATGCCTTGCAAAGCTTAAACACAAAACGTAAGAGGTAAATCATTCTGTTTTGTCAGAGCATGTTTTCTCGGCAAAATGGAGTGGCCACTTCTTTGCTGTTTTGCAGATCGCGTGCGATATAGCGAAGTCGTATTGAGTCCTTCAATGTCGAATAAGTCAACACTCAGAATGTCTTTGACTGAATAAAGGAAAAAAAGCACTTAATCAAAATGAAAACCATATGAAAAGTTTTGGGGTTTTTGTGGTTTTTTTTTTCCTTCTGGCATTTCACAGTGAACTGCAGATACAGTAACGGCAAACTCTCATTTGATTTTATTTCTTCTTGTATTTCCCTGACTACAATGCGTCTTGAATAAAGGTTGCAGAGCTGAAATAGGCAGCTGCTCTTTGCTGATTCCAGGGGAGTTTAGTCTTCTAGGTGCAGTAGCATGTCAACAAAATCAATTGTAGCAGGACAGTTGTGACATTTAAAATGCACATACGCTTCAGCAAGATAGCCTAAAATCTATTTTAAAAGACAAAACAGAAACTGAAAGTGCCTGTACTTAGAACTGATGGGATGTTCCTATACTTTTACACAGCAATAACTTACGGGATTCTGTTAACAGTAAGGTGAAAATGAAATTTTACTTGGAGAACAATAATGCAGCACAGAAACAAACACAAAGTGCCATTTGTATTTTCACATGTTGAGATACTGTATTAGAGGTTTTAGTTATTTTGTCAGATAACGTCTGTCATCTACTTGTAAGAAGAAAATGGATCTTAGCTTACAAATGACTCATATCCACATCAATTCTCAGTAGGTGTGAATGGAGGTCATTGTCAAGCAGTGTTTTAGGGGATTCCTTCCTAATTTACGTCTGATGTGCCCATGTATCCAGGGTATTCTCTAGTGAAATAATCCAAAAACCAGCAATAAACCCAGTGGAGCCTTTTTAGGGTATATGGTAGAACGGGGATTCTCTTGAAAAATCCTCTGCATCGAACTCTGGAAAGACAGAGTTCACCTTATGTCTCCTTTCTATTCATCATGTAATGTTCTTAGCATTTAATATCATCTTAGAACTGTTTGACTTCAGGAGTGGACAAAATATATCACTTTTCTTTCTTTTGGGGACAAATAAGTGAAAAATTTGGGACTGTCAGTCTAAAGACTATTTGAGTAGCAAACAAGTCGATATTCCTAAAATGGAGTCAGGAGATTTTTATATTGAGTGACCTAAACATTTGCATCAATAGACTAATTGATCTTACAAGGAAATAGCCAGCTGTGACTCTTCCACTCTTTTTTTTTCCCCTCAATTTTTTTCTTTTTTAATCTGGTAGGTTTAAAAAAAAAATTAACTGCTGCTAATGGATTCTTAAAATAGCAGTGTAATGCCATCCCTCTTGCTTCTTCTGTTTCTAAAAATGAATTTATTGGAGATCAAAATGTAACTGGTTGTCCCGATACCTTTGCCAAGGAAGATTGCTTTCCATCCTCTAAATTTTTACCTGTCATTTATCCAGGCAGAATTTTGTATTTGAAAAATTCCAGATTTTGCCTAGACTTTTGCTGCCATCGGTGGGTTGTTGCTGGAGTGGGAGGATGGGTGTTCGTTTTTTATTCACTGAGGCAGGATTGCGTGTGCATGAAGACGCTCGCTGTATACGGAAGAAAGTGTAGGTGCAAAAAAAAAAGCACATGGACTCGCATGTAAAAACTAGACATTTATGCACATCAGTTAATCATGTGACAAGACGGCTACTTTAGTAACAACTTCTTTTAAATGCTAGCCACCGGTGGAAATAATCCCATCAGAACATGCATGTACTTATTCTGTCATCCTGAGCTTAATCTCCAGATACTAAGCACATAAAAGAACTCAGTTCATGCTGGGGATTTTAGGAGGGCACCAGGGAATGTGTCATCAGAAGGGCAAAGGAAACACTAGTTTCTCACCTTGTACCTGAGCTGTTGTTGGAGAGGAGGGTTTGGTTCTTTGTTCTGGAGCAGCGACACTACAAGGAAGCGCCCTTAAAAACTTGCAGAGTTGGGAGGTTTGGCTGACTCCAGCCCTACTTGTGTTAGTTCTTGTGTAAGAAAGGGCACCTTGTCTTCACCATCCCAAAATGAGCCAGGCTTTTTTTTCTTCTTTCTGAAAAACAAATACAGAGATGTTTTTTTCTCAATTTTATTCATTTGCCAGTATACCTCTATAGCAGCTTGTGCTTACTGACTTGAAATTATGAAATAAACTGAGTTACCCTTTTAGTAATTTTTAGATTATACAGTACACAGTTCTTCAGTCCTCCAGACAAGCAAAACTGTGACTGTGAATTTTAGCTATTACAAAAACAGGAATTGAAAAAATTATTTGAGGTCCTATTGTCTGTATGTGTGACCCGCAACAGCTTCCCCAGCTCAGTCTCAAAAGTTTCAGTGAGCCAAGATGCTGTCAGTTATAAAAGAAGAGGTGAATGGTGGTTCACCCATTGACTTGCTAAACCTTGCTCCATGCTGTGACCTCTGCATTTAAAAAACAATAGTTCAGTGCCTGGTAGGGGACCGCAGGTGATGGCTTTGATGTATTGTCATAAGCATGAACCATGAAATACAGAAGTAGGTTCAGATACTGCTTTTCTCCCTGTTCCTGCCTTTCTAGATGTAAAGAGCTTCTTTGGAAAGACAGTTCAAGCCATAATCTTCACGGCTGAACTAATCTCTTTCACAATTCAGAGTTCATGTTGTCGTTTCTGGTTTCAAACTATTTTTCACTGCTACATTTGCATCTTATTTTTCATTAAAAAAACCCCATGGTTTATTTCTTTCTTTATCATCCTATACATTGCTTCTTTGGTAATGTAAGTTCTCCGCTGAAGACCTACACAGTATGCTCTCTCGACTTGCTGTCTGTCCCTAAAAAGTTTTCTCTCCCATTTGTGCTTGCAATAGAATATACACGGAGATAGTAATGAACTACTTGAGTTTCATGTCCCATCAGCCTTAGGACCCTCAACCCACACACACAGACACACGCATTCATGCACTTCAAGCGAAAGAGAGATTTGGACACTGCTATCAACATGTGGGGTCAAAAATACCATTACATTGGAAAGTTCTTTCAGCTGTGTTTAGGAAGAAACAACAATAATGAAAAATAGCATTCTTGGCCAAGTCACTTATGGATGAAGCGAATTCCCCTATGGCATTAGTTGAACGAAATCCTGAGGATGGGGTTGCATTTGGCCCCAAATTGTTCCTTCTAATCAGGTCGTTATCGTTGTATGTACCAATGAGCGTTCATCTGATCCTCCTGTGTAAAAATACAAAAACATCCCTTAGTTTACAAAAAGTGATTAATTTGGGACCGAAGCTTCACAGCAATGGAATTAGTATGTACAGCACCTCAATCTTTTTCCTAGATAAGATGCAAAAGGGAGGGTCATTATCGGTAACCCCATAGAGATAATAGTGTCAACAGAGGTCCTACACTTAAAAGGAATAAAAATACCAGTGCTAGGAAGCAAACATACTAGTTCCTTAAGTCTTTTCTTTTGCCTTCTTTTCAAAAGCTTTTAAATGCAAAAATTCATTTTCTTCAAAAACAAAAGTAATCATCTGAAGATCTAATTTCCCAATAGTTTCCTCTGCATTTATATACTACGTAGTGTTTAGGCAACACCTATGTTATAAGTTTATTAATATTATGTAAGTGTTGTTCTTGTATTTATGTATAGTGTACGTATTGTAAATATACTCAGAGCTTTTTTTCCTCTTACTGTAAAATGGTGATTTTTTGCCCTATGATAATGTAAAGGGAGTCCCCTAATGAAATTCTGTCAGAGGATGATTATTCCAGTCTATTCTCAAAGATTTAAATGAACAAGTGTTACTGTTTTTAATGGTGTCTCAGACATATTTTGTTGGTGCATTGCTTTTCTGTATTCAACTTTCCTATGAATTGAGCTGTGAATTGAAATAGAGTTTAAACCTTTAAATGTATGCATTTGTATAATTATCT